TCTCTCTCTCTCTCTCTCTCTCTCTCTCTCTCTCTCTCTCTCTCATTTCTGGACATTTATGGTTTGATTTCTTTGTATGTATGGATCACTTGGGTTGTTACCGACATCTGGTGAAAATTTCACGTCATTAGCACCTCTAGTAATATATTTACTGAGAAAAATGGTGACGTGTTCAAAACTTATTTTACCTGCTGTATTTGACCAAAGAAAAACCGGAGCAGGACTACAGAGAGATAAATATGTTTTAGATTGTCATTTATGTGACAGGACACGACCCACAGGAGGCACGACATTAACAGCAATCGTCAATTCATTCCTTGGCTTTAGCAGGTCTGACGCTGCTAAAAATGACAGATTTTTTTTTTCTGGATCTCTAAGAGCAGGACTTCAATCTCCGAACTCGTAAATTTCTTCTTTTTTACTTTGAGATGTCACTTATAAATGGACACTTTCTGGTGTGTGGGGAAGGAAACGTAGCCTTATATGGTGTTTTTGGGGTGGTAGATTATGCTAATCACTAGGGATGTCTTGATCAGATACTCAGTTTCAGTATCGGTGGCAGATATGGCCATTTTTTGAAAATCGGGTAGAATCTTATTTAGTCATGTGATCGGGCCGATCCAGTTTTCAGCATCATCATGCTTTACAACTGCCGTTAAGAAGTCCAGACGCACACAAGTATGCAACCATGTCCACAGTGTGGGAACACTTTTCAATGGACAACAATGATACTGAAACTGCATCTTGCAAAATCTGCAAACTGGATGTTTCTGGTGGTGGGAACAGCAGGGCTCGCTTTAACACTACCAACCTTGTCACTTGGAAAGAAATAAAGCTATTGGATCAGTATCGGAAAGACTAATCATTAAAAAAATCGGATTGTATCGGGAGCCAAAAAATCTGGATCGGGACATCCCTACTAATCACCTCTCCCGGTACAGGAGCACCTGATACACATTCATCAGTTTACGCAGCTCATTTACACACTTTTCCTGAAGATATAATAGTTTGTTGAATCTGACGTGACATGTTCGTACGAACCCTTCATACGAACAAAAGTAAGAGAAATTTAGGATAAGAATACAAACATGTTCTTGCATGAGGCCCAATGTCTTAAAAGGATCCATGATTAGTTGTAACATTAGACTTTTTATGATAAACATATACTTTAACTGTAAAATAAAGACTGTAAAAATACTGTAGGGTGTTCAGCTTTTATAATTTTTAAACTAAAATTTTAAAAATATATTACACGGACGGGGCCATTTTATTTACACGCAAAGCATTCTGGGTAAATGATGACATCAACTGGGTCATCGGTGCGAGGCTGCTAGCGAGCTACATCCACCCTGAAGGTTAATCTTGGACAATATCTGATGATTGGCTGATTTAAATGAAACCAGAGAGCGTTGACAGAGAGGAGAAGGTAGAAATGACTCAGCCTGGAACTGAAAATATGGATGGAGAACAACAGAGCTGCTTCATGGAAGAAGAACCTCAGCTTAGTCTGTTAGCTTTAGCGTTAGCCCCGATGCTGTCACCATATACAGTTTATGTATTAGCTCAGCGCTACACATTCTCCTCTCATCACTGAGGTCCTCCATCCACATGACAGAGAGGGGAACACAAAAATGACAGTCTGCAACTGAAAATGTGGATGGAGGACCTCAGTTTAGCTTGTTTGTCGCGCCAGCGCCGAGCTAATACATATAAGGCAATATAGCGTCGGTGCTACCCCAAAGGCTAACAGGCTAAGCTGAGGTTCTTCTTCCATGAAGCAGCTCTGTTGTCCTCCATCCATATTTTCAGTTGCAGGCGGAGTTATTTCTACCTTCTCCTCTCTGTCAACGCTCTCTGGTTTCATTTAAAATAGAGTTGGGCGATATGATCAAAATTTTATATCACAATATTTTCAACATTTTCACCGGTTTCACGGTATTTGACGGTATTTTTCTTTTCATCACAGCTCAGCTGATAATAAAATGTACAAACCCTGCTTATTGACTTTTTTTCTTTTACTGTACCTCTGTCTGTGTCTCTGTTTCCCTCCTCTGTGTCTGTTCTTCTCCGACTGGTGGTTGGAGACAGTAGTCATGCATTTTGGTCCAGTCGTGAAGGAGGAGGGTTAAGAAAAGATTATGATCGGGTTTATTGTTTTATGTTATTATTAAAGCTTATCAGCACGACTCACCCTGCACACCAGTCAATTCCAACTCCACTACGAACTACTTCCTGCGGGCTTTTCACAAYAGAACCACGTTAAGTCTCCATCAGCATAACGTCTCCATATTAACTAACCGCGTTAAATCTAACTGTGCACGTCACTGAAGAGGTGTTTACTACATTCAGGGACGCCGAAAACGGGATGTTTTTTTAAACATCAGTCAATATAATCAGCGGAATCGCCACCCGCGGCTGCAACTAGCTGCTCCAAACATTAGCATGCTAACGTTCATAGCGATGCAGCAAGGAAAAATGTCCCCCGGGAAACAACAGTTCACTGGCGGCCGCGACGAAACGTTCCGCTATTTAAACCGGAATGTCCGGTATTCAAAAAATTCATTTCATAACAAAAATGAAAACCGGTATTCGGTACAAAACGGTATACCGCCGAGCACTAATGTAAAAGAGCCGATCATCAGATATTGTCCAAGATTAACCTTCAGGGTGGATATAGCTCGCTAGCAGCCTCACACCGATGACCTAGTTGATGTCATCATTTACCCAGAATGCTTTGCATGTAAATAAAATGGCTCCATCCGTGTTAACATATTTTAAAAAATTTACAAAACTATACAGCCTACAGTATTTTTAAAGTCTTTATTTTACAGTTAAAATATATGTTTATCAAAAAAATTTTCATGTTACAACTAATCGTGGATCCCTTTAAGATATATTAAATGTGAAGAGTTCAAACGTTCTGAAGATAGTTCTAACAACATTTTCCATCCTGACTGGCATCAAGAACTTTCTAAGTAAAGTTGGATGAAATGAACCGTACCAAAGCACTCCTAAGACCATCCCCACCCTACCTGTGATGGTCTCAGCATCCCTGCACTGAGGCGGCTCCAGGTGTGCGTCGAGCCGGCTACATTCGCCCTCGCTCACATACTGCTCTTCTTTGCTGAGACGCTGACTGGGCTCGGGGTCCGGATCCAGGTCTGGGGCCGGGGGAGGCGACGAGGCGGCGGAGGCCAGCTTGGCTCACTGGTGGAGATGAGCGGAGGCCATGGGCCGCTGGAGCTCCACTGGGTCAGCAGGTCCACGGCACGGGAGAGAGACAGGAGGTGAGGAATCCTGAGGACAGAGGAGACGGGAGGGCGAGAGGAGCAGAAGCAGATCAATGCGTCTCTGGCTTTTCATCCACTCAGAGTGTTTAACTTCAAGCGGAGCTGCTGACTCTGCAGTGTGCTGCATAAATCACCGCCAGCTTCCTCCACTTCTCTGCTGTCGGGACAGCGGAGACCAGCCGGGGGACGGAAACACAGCACAATATAAGGAGAGTGTTTGACAAATTTAAAAAGGACAAACGTCCCCTTTCTGGGTCTGCAGTAATCTGAGGCGGCCTCACACAGCACCACACGGATGTGCTCACACATGGTGACCTTGCAGTTCTGCAGGAATCGTGTGGCGTGGCTGCAGACGTGCAGCAGGGTGAAAACACACTGCAGGTCCACACAGTGACGTCACCGGTGTGCCACATCCAACAGCAACAAAAGTGTACAGATGTGTTTGCTGGAGATATTTTTAGTCACGATGAGACTTTCACATGAACAAGGATATATTTAAAGGCCTAGAACTCTTTAGATTCACTTCCACCCACCATCTTTAATACCACCTTTAAAACTAAGAACATCTAATGAGGATGGATGGAGTCAAAGCTGTTTTGAGAATCTAAGCAATATTGCAAAATCCCAAACTCAGAATATGTGTTTTAATCACTCTCAGCTACTACCACGCCAAATTTCAGCTCAATATCTGTAAAACTGATCAACTTTAAGCCATTTTTAAGTTTCCTGAAGACATTTGGCCATAGCTGCCATCTTGAACTGGTTTAGTTCTGGCAGTTAATCAGTTGTTGAGGCCCATCTGATGATTATTTTCTGAAGGTTTCATTAGAATCCTTCCAGTAGTTTATGAGATATTTTGCTAACAGACAAACAGTTGACAGCAACAGTTATTTGCAAAATTTTACATAAAGATCTTAAGCGAGCTCTTAGCGCTCAAAGAATGTGATGGGGGTGACTTTCTTCTACTATCAAGCCAAATTTGAGCTCAATCTCTGCAAAGATACCTGAGTTAGAGTCATTTAGGTGCTTTTTAGTTTGGATTAGCTGTGGTGGCCATCTTTAATCTAGTTGCCTCCAAAATGTAATCAGTTGTAGAAATAAATGTACTGATCACTTTCTCAGGGTTTGTTTAAAATCCATTCAAGTGGATTATGAGATATTTTGCTAACAGACAAACACATAACTGTTGCAGCTGTAGTTGCATCCAGTAAATGAGATAAATTACCACAGCCACAATTCAGAGACAAAGGTTTTGAAGGAACCCAGAGCACTCTGAGAAAACAGTTAACACCCAGAAAGACTGGGAGATGAACCTGTGACATTGAGTGGCACCAGCTGTACCACTGCACCACTGTGCGTCTCTGTAATTCATGCTACTAAATTACAGAAAACCAAAATATTTTTCCCAGCTATTTCAAGCCTGCATATGTGAAACAATCATAAGTCTCCATGGGTCAGGGTAATTTAAAGTTTGTTTGTTTTTAAACAATGTCCTGATGCATCTCAGTAATCCAGGTAAAAAATCAAAAAGAAAAATAATTGTATAGGTCTTCTGGACGGGTTCTTCTCTAATGAAACATTTCGTCTCTTCTCCAAGAGATGGCCAGAACTCTGCAGTTTTCACTCATTTACAGGCCAGCGGTCACTCTTTCAGAGATGAGGATGTCTCATTCTTGATAGAGAGGAACGTTGGTTTGAGAGAAGAGTAAAAGAAGCCATTTTTGTGAAGAAAGACCGTCCATCATTAAACAGAGGTGGAGGCCTCCGTTTTCAGTTGTCCCCCTCCTACAGYGCKGYYATTGSCAGTATCACTCCACCCCCTGTTAACAATARGTGTTAATTAGGTGTCAACCATAGCCATGTGATGTGAGTATCAGTCACATGGAGGCTGGGCTTAAAAGCCTGAATTTTGCCTGAAACTCTCAGACTGAAGAAGTCTCTTGGAGAAGAGACGAAACGTTTCATTAGAGAAGAACCCGTCCAGAAGACCTATACTATTTATTTCTTTTGTAAACAATGTTTGATATCTAAAGAATTTAGATTTTAAAAAAGGCTAATAAAATAAAAACTAATAAAAACTAAAACACTCCAACTGTGAGGCCATGTGTAAATATTACTAGATGCGCTAAACATACTTGCTTCTGAACAACTGAGCCTTTCAGGGATGCTCCCTTTACACCCAATTAACCTGTTAACTTGTGGAATTCTCCAAACAGGTGTTTTTAAACATTCCTCTGCTTTTGTTGCCCTATGGAAGTAAATTACAAACGAGTCAATATTTGCACAAAACCAATAAAGTTGATCTGTTTGAACATTAAATAGGTTGAAAAGGATTTTCAAACCATCATATTTTGTTTTTGTTTTACACATCTCAGCTTCATTGGAATTGGGGGTTTGTAGCTTCAGACTGTAAATGGGTCAGGGTTCATTCATGCGTGCCATGTGGCAAAACAAACTGTCATTGAAATGGTGTCTGAGGGGCGTGGCTTCACCTCCATCCGCAGGTCACGTCACCAATCAAAACGAGTTCTCCTCGTTGTTTGTGACCTGCAGCGGCGCGATAAGGGATCAGCTGACCTTTTGGTCGCCATTAAAAAAAAACAAAAAAAAACAGCGATGGCAGAAGAATCAGTTGTACTCACCCTCACACAGATGCTGGGTGAGAAAGATGAGCAGGTGGAGTCTCCTGAGGCAGGCTGGGCCCAGATCCGGACCGTGCGTTCGTCTGTCTGCCGTTCTCCCAGCTCCGGATCACCGAGGACGCCTCGGACCAGTTTCTGAGCTCTCTCCTGACCTGGTCCACTCCTCCGTCCCTTCATCCATCACCCACCCTGTCTCTCCTCACTCACAGGAAGCCTCTCCCACCAGAGTCGGAGCGACAAGCCGCGCGGAGGTAGAACAAAGCGAGACTTCCGGGCGCTTCCTTCAAAATAAAAGCTTCGCGCACAAAAACAATCAAGAAAACACAACAAAAAGTGTGTTTTTATATTAAATATTTATCCACATAACATCCTGTTACAATTTCTTCAAAAATCATACCACTGTTTCACCGTTATTTGCTTTATTCGTTCGAATTATTTTTATTGTGAAACTTAAAGTCCAGCCTTTATTTGTCTTATTTGTTCTGGGTAATTTGTCATGATGAGACAGTTCATCTCATTACTGCCGCCCAGACATCTGGACCCAGCCCGTTCAGTGACGTCACATGGACCTAGAATAGTTAGGGGTTGAGCTAAGTGGATCATATGTGTTGTTGAATGATAAATAAATAAACAGGAGTTACAGGATGTCCTATTGTAAAAACAATAAAGGTTTATGCACATATTAAATATTAAAAATAGCCCATCTATAGCTGTTTTTTTTGTCTAGAATAGAAGACAAAATATCCACATCAGAACAAGTGAAGTAGAAAATATTTCTGTTCTTTTAATGATACATCATGAAAATACTTGTAAACGTTTCAACATTGACTGAGTTTTGTTTCAAATAAATAGTTCTTATTTTTTTAAATATTTCTTACGTTTTATTCTGTTGCTTTGGCTTTTAAATTTTTATATTTCTTTTTGAGAACAATGTGACAGCTTTTTCTCATAAGAATGCTATTAACAAATCAAGATGTGAAGTTTATTGTGAAAAACAAAATTGAATAACTAAACACAAAACATGAATAAATAAAAACCAACAAACCCTAAATATGTCTGGTTCTGTCCAAGCTTGTGAAGCTTTAAATGCCCTCTGTTGGTTCTGCTTCCGGCTCCATCCTCACCTGCCTTTCATCTGTAATCAGCTCACCTGTTTTCACTCAGTCATCACCTGAAGATCACCTGGTCTACATCCACTCACAGGAAAAGGTTGAACAAAATGCAGCCAATACGCTAAAAAAAAATCATTAATCTTTGAACATTTCATTTCATTCATTTCATTAAAACAAAACAAAAAAATTATATATAATAAAAAAGAAAAATTAGAAAAACAAAATATGTGTATCAAAATCACAAATAAAATGAAAGGTAGAGAGAAGAAAAATCTTATATCTGCTCCTTTTCTCGCAAGAATACATTCATACAACAAAAAATTTATATTATTAACAAAACAAAAGACAAGAACATCTAATCCCTCTACAATAACAGTTAATATAAGTGCATTTTATACTGTTTCATATTTTTTAACAATCAAACCTTTATCATTTTCTTAAATGATCCTGCATTTTTAACACCACTCTTCAAATCATTCCACAGTCTTATTCCTTGAATTATATATTATATATATATTTTTACCTGATGTGAGTTGGAGAAATGACAACACATGATTCAGTGTTTTATTATAGATTATTTTGACTGGATCAACATGTTGTGGGGGTCATAACCGGCCTAACCCCCCCTGCAAGATGACTTAGAGGCCTGCAGGAAAACAATCTGTTTACCTGCAGGATGAATCATTTAAAACCATTTTCATNATTCATTTCATTAAAACAAAACAAAAAAATTATATACAATAAAAAAGAAAAAAATATAAAAAAGAAAAATTAGAAAAATGTGTATCAAAATCACAAATGAAATGAAAGGTAGCAGAGAGCACACATTTAAGAAGTTCAAATAAAGAAATTAAAATTTATTCAAACAAAACTCTGTTCTGGCGATGATGATGATGATGATGATGATGATGATGATGATGATGATGATGATGATGATGATGAGTTTCCTCGAGCTCAGACAGCAGAGGGCAGCAAAATAAAATAAAATGATGCCTTTTCGTGAGTTTTCCTCCACATTTCTGTTTACAACTGCGACTCAGGTTTAGACACGTGCATTTTGTTTTCTAGAATATTTTATATCCTTATTATTTGAATTTGGATCTGGACATCACACCTGGATGAAGGAGAGGGGTCTTCCGGAGCAGGGGACCAAGGGAAGAAGAGATCCGATTGGGATTAATCCGAATTATTCCAGGCCTGCTCAGTGTCTCCATGGCAAAAGAAGAATCGCCTGGTTTGCACCCAGAATAACGCTGCGCAAAGACGCGTCATTTTGGTGCCAACTGCTGCGCGCCCCTCTCCTCTCCAAGAGACAACCATCACAGTTTGGAGTCCTGCTGACAAAATGAATTTTGACCAAATCCTCGCAGCCATCGGAGGTTTTGGGAGATACCAGAAGATTCTGTACATCTGGATCTGCTTGCCTCAGATCCTTCTCGCCTTCCACATGATGGTCAGCGTCTTCAGCGGGGCCACGCCGCCACATCGATGCCAGGAGGGCCCCGGGAATCAGACGCGGGTCCCCGGAGGAGCGATCCCCCTGAACCTGAGCTTCCCGCCGGACTCCTCCTGCTTCTCCTTGGAGAACCGGACCGAGCGCATCCCGTGCGCCCGCGGCTGGCTCTACAGCTCCGAGGTCTTCCAGAGCACCACTGTCACCGAGGTACAACAGACTGAGACCGGAACAAGCTCATTATGAATACATTTAATCTGCTGCATCATAGAAACCAAAATTAAAACCAGGGATTATTGAAGGGATGCATGTGCCACCCCCCCCCCCCCCCCCCAGGCATTTTACAAGAGAAAAGTTGACTGAATGACACATGATGTTTGAGTCTGGTTGATTTTTAAAAGTTAATCACTTGCAAATGTTCATCTGGTGATACTTTATGAATTTCATCTAAATCTGTCCAGTGGTTAATTGGATATTTTACATTTGAACAGACTTGACCAATGAATGCTTTTTAAATCTGTAGTTCTCTGAACGTGTTGATGCTCACTGCCACACCAAATCTTTGCTCAGTATAAATTGTAGACATTTTTTGTGTTTGACATTCAGTTATTATTCAAACAAGGAGGAACATGATCTGTGCTTTGCCCAAAGCATCAACGTGTTAAGACTGATGAAGCAGTTATTTTATTAATAGTTTTGTCTTTTAAAAAAAGATTTGCAGTTGTTTTTGTCTCCATGAATGTCTGTTACAAATGTTTCGCACATTTTTTTCTTGTATTCACCAGTTCACAACAAAAGTCGTCTCGTATCTGCGCACAAAAACGTTCACAAAAATGACAGTTAGTAAAAAAAAATTCTGTCCAAGGAAGCATCAGATTGTGCTGAATCTTCACTTATCAAAGCACAGAGGGGACTGTGGGGAGGAAGAACTCTTTTTACATGAAGAAACCTCCTGTGAGACCAGAACTAGGCTCAGGATGAGTGGCCTTCTGCCTCGACTGGTTAGGATCAGCGGGGACAGGAAAGGGACAGACACATGGCTTATTAACGAGTGGTTTAGTTTCTGTGGTCCAGATGTGGCTCAGGAAACCCAAACCAACTCTAACTATAGGTTTTATCATGAAGGAAAGTCAGTCTTAATACAGAGTGTCTGCCACAAACAAGTCCAGATAACTTAAAGCTCTGCCTCCTGCTCTACTTTTACTTCAGGATTTGGGTTTTTTACAAGTTGTTTTGTCTTTATGTTTTATCATTAGAGTTATTTATGAGTTATTCTTGCATAAACCTGTAGCTTCTATCAGTTTCCCCGGGGTTCCTCCTTGAGATCATTTCACTGCTTCTCAGCTCCTCACTCAGCCAGCCTGCCCTGCCCACTTTCACCTGTTCTTGGTCTGCATTCAGCCCAGGTGTCTCCACTTCCTCATCAACCCAGCCTTACTTATTCAGTCAGTTTGCCTTCACGCACCATCGGCGCATTATTGGTTGATTCATCTCAGTCGTGTTCTACTTGTGCTCTTCCTTGTGTCATCTTTGGCTGCATTGTCTCTGTTTTTGTTCTCCCTTAAATTATTTAAAAAATTGTTGCTTATTTGTTCTTTTTCATGTCTGGGTCTGAAACCTGTAACAATGAGAAGGAAGAGGAAACAAGTAAACCTGCTGTAAGAGTGAATTACTGTGTTAGGAAGGAAAACAATTAGATAAGATCTTTAATATAAGATGGATCGTTTGGTTTGTTAGAAGATCTCTCCTTCTAACAGCATTTTGGATTGACTGAAGTAGTTTTTTGACAGATAATAAAGAATTACAGTTTTTAAATTACTTTGTTGAAAACTGCAATCAAGTTTTCTCCTGTTTGGTTGGTTTGTAGCTACTTTTTTTGCAGTATCTAGGAAATGCTGTTTTGGATGTTTTGTTTTGGGAACATTTCGTTCTGTTCTATAAGTCATGTTCCTATCTTGCGTTTGGCAAAACTAAAATGATACAGTACTGTGAAAAAGTAATAAACCGTCCTGAATTACTTGAGATTTTCATTACAAGAAGCAAAATTTTATCATTCTTCAGGGACGTCTTAACAGTTTCATCTGAGGTTTATTTTGTTTATTCACTCATTTTCTCACATATTGTACATTATC